GTCTCGCTGCAGAGGAGCACGTGACATCAGGAGGCGCTTGGTGGCCGTGGTCACTCTGCTGGTGGGAAGTCTGCCAGGAGAGCGCAGGAAGTGCTCGCGCTTGTGCAAAGATGTTCTTTCCGGTTTGTTCATCACAACAAGGAAAGACAAACCACCCCGTCACCACGTCGGTGAGCAAGGACACCCAGAGTGGTTTGTGCACGGGTCACCGTGTCACCGAGGAGACCGCAGGACAGTGCAGCGGGCTTGGAAAGCCACCTTCGCTCTCAGCGGCCACTCAAGGGCGTGGCCCCTTCTTGGAACAAGTCTTGTGTGTGAGCAAAACGTCACCCGGTCACGATGGCTGTGCTGGGTGTGGGCTGTCAGTCCCGCTCAGGAGTGGCGGGGGAGGGGGATGAGGGTCGTGAAGGCCAGGGCCAGGGGTGGACGCCAGGGGCCCTGTGAGAGAGCAGCCTGGACACTGGCTTCCTGCCCCCAGCGTTCTGGATCCTGACCAGGGAAGAGCTGGCCACCGGGGACCACGACATGAGAGGAGGACAGCAGGCACAGAGTGGCGCAGCCTGTGAAGGACGGGTCAGGAGTGTCCAGGAGGTGGCCGCTGCCTATGGCCAGTGTCAAAAGGACAGCAGGAGGGGCACACCTGGCTTCCCAGAGGGCAAAGTCCCTCTCGTTCTTCAGGATCAGCCGGACACGTCTATAGGCACAGACACGTGCCTCCGTCCACACGCCGTGGTGAGCACGTGGACTCCTCCTTCCTGTAAGGGATCCCAGCCTCGTCTCCGAGAGCCTCGGGCCTCTGCTGAGGGGACGGCAAGTTGGCGGGACAGGTGCCACCCCGCTGGCAGGGCCTGGTGCTCCCTGTCTTGGAGCCTCAGTTTCCCGTCTGTGAACAGTTCCTCAAGGTGCTCCCTCCTCGGGACGTGAGCAGAGCCAGCTCTCCAGAGGCAGCGGGACAGCGACTGGCATGTAGCAGGTGCTCAGCAGCCAAGAGCCACAGAGTCCCACGTCCCTGGGCCTGTGCTGTCCAGGGGAGGACAAGCCCGCACATGGCGGGCACCCACGAATGATCCTGAAGCCCCAGGCCCCAGGCACTGACGCGCAGGCTGTTGGAGGAAGGAAGTTCAGCACCAGGTGCCTCCCCCCAGCTCTGCTTTGGCTTTTAGGTGTGCACTGCTCCAAACGCTCAGGGCAAGCTATAAACCGGCCGTAGACAGACAGGGCACTGCGGGGCCTTCAGGGACCCTGGGTTTCTGTTCTCTGCCTGACTGTTTAAATAACAGCACACGTTTCCTTTACAACAAAAGACTTTCTGTAGTCGTAAATGGACGGAGTGGCTTTATCTTACTTATGTCACGTGGTGCTGAGGATGGGACCCAGCACCTCACTCAGGCCAGTGCTCTGCCACGGAGCTGCAGCCCAGCCCTACCACAAGCATTTTTAAAGACAGAAGCACCTGCAGCGGCATCCAGTGCACTGGCTCCTCCTGGGGAGGGTCTGAGCGGACGGAGGGAGCAGGGCATGCTGGGTAAGAGCCCGGGAGCCCTGGGCAGCCTGGGTCAGGCCCAGCTCTGCCCTTGCTGCCTGCGTGACCTGGGGCAAGTTGCTTAACCACTTTTCTCCCCTTTTCTTTCTTTTTTTGGGGATGTGGGTACTGGGGATTGAACTCAGGGGCACTGGACCACTGAGCCACATCCCAGCCCTATTTGAATTTTATTTAGAGACGGGGTCTCACTGACTGGCTTAGCCCCTCGCTGGTTGCTGAGGCTGGCTTTGAACTCGCGG